GGGGTACATGTTCACTAATGCTCTCTTGGTGACCCATGCACCATGAAAATTGAATCATCTATATTGTTAAAAATTGTGGGGGTATGGGAACTGACTGTGCACATTACACAGCATCCATGTCATATTTTTAAGTATTTTAATTATTTTTTGTTTGAAAAACTCTTAAGCATTAAGTTAGATCTGCTTGCCAAAGTTAGGGTTCTACTTAAGGCAACTAAGGTAAAATCTGATGGATTAATGTTGCCTTTCCACTTTTTTTCCCCAGTCATCAGGTATTCAAGGCACTGGACTGTTCAAGGAAGAAGCTCTTCAGATCCCACCAGAAAATGATGAGTCGCAAGGGTGGCACATCAGCTTAGATGGTAAGTCTCTGTGCAAGTACATGCAGAAAATGTAACAAATTAATTTCTCGTTAATTTTTCAAGTGCTGTACAAATAGAGACAATACAATGTATGGAGTATATTGAATGCAGTGAGGCTATTTTAACTTTTTCTCACTACTCTTGTTTCAGAAGCAGATGTGTCAGCTCTTCCAGGACCCAGTAAATGTTTTAATGACCAAAAGATCCCAAAGTGCCAAGTAAATTGGGAAACTGGATTTGAGCAGAGAGCAGAATCAAACAATGATGGACACTCGGGTGAACCGACTGAACCTCTGTTCCCAAACAGGTACGGCATGGAAGACTTAGATGGCATTGACAAGTCTGGATATGGAGACACTGGAATGATAGACATGGGTAATTTTGATGGGATACATTCACCATCGCACCTGGGCAAAGATCTGAGTTATGTGGGCCATTATGATGAGGATGTGGAAACACCAGAAGGAGCTGATCATCAAGCTTACCAAACAGGCACTCAGCGGAATAGAAAGGATCAGGAAGGTTCACCCTCAGGTTCCCCCTCTAGGACTAACATTGATGTAAGTGGAGAGTTCAGCTGTTTACTAATTAATGAGGAGGGGTATCTGCAGGACACAAATGTCTTGTACCCTGAACAAGTGTCCAGTGATTCAGGTAGTAGATTCAGCTTCCGCGGCCAGGGTATTCGTATTGGCCCTTCTCTAGACAGCACTGAGGATATGTATGAGCCTTCAGATACGTACAGCGATACCTTAAACGTGGGACAACAGATGCAACATCAGGCAACAGTGAGAGGAGCAAGGAGATACACTTGTAACCAGTGCTCCATGTCCTTCCCGGATTCTGCTTCCCTCAAGGCTCACAAACACACACACAAAGGCACTGGACAAGTGCCCCCATACTCCTGCAACCAGTGTGGAAAGACCTTTACTCAAGCTTGTAACCTTAAAGTCCACCAAAGGACTCATTTAGGGCAAGGGGTTCACCTCTGCAGCCATTGTGGTAAAGGTTTTCCTTCATTTTCTGACCTAAAGGCACACAAATGTGGTCAAGTAGGGGACAAACCATATTGCTGCACAGTATGTGGGAATAAGTTCAGCCGTCTATGGAATCTTAAGTTGCACCAGAGAATTCACACACAGGAAAAACCTCATCGGTGCACCATGTGTGACAAGAGCTTCACAAGAGCAGACATATTGAAGGTTCACCAGCGTACCCACACAGGGGAAAGACCATACTGCTGCACTGTTTGCGGTCTCAGCTTCAAACGCCTGGATCATCTGAAATCCCATCAACGCAAGCACATGACAGATCTATAATTCCTTGGGAGAAGAAGTATCAAATTATTTAATATTATTTGTGCTATCTGAAGGTTTAAGTGAATATTTATATTAATGAGCCTGTGATGGATAGATAAGGTCTATCACATTCAGTTAAACAAGTCTCATTTGTAATCAGTTACTGCTGCATATTTTATACTCATTAAAAATATACTGCCTTGGAGTATAACTGAAAAACTTGACCAACAATATCTTTGTGGTTACTCAGCTGATTGAAAATAAAACTGGCTTTAGATGCCATCGTCTGTTTATATTCTTGTTTCCTGAAGTTAGTTCTTGGCACATACTTCCTAATGACGTCACCCAGGTAGTAATGGAGTAATGTTTTGATTTTCACTGTTGCCTCCCAGCAAGAAGGTACTTAGTTCAATTCCACCATCAGCAGGGGTCTTTCTGTGTGGAGTTTGCATATGTTTGCGTGGGTTTTATTCTAGCTTCCTTCCATAGTCCAAAGGCATGCAGATAGTGGAGATAGGTTAATTGGAAACTTTAAATTGCCCATGGTGTGAATGTGAGTCAGAATGGCTGTCTATGTCAGTGGTTCTCAAACATTTTACATCATTCCCCACATGACACGCCCCCTCTAAACACAAGAAAGAAAGAAAAGCCTAGCTGCACAATGAATCCTTCAGTTATTTTTGCTTTAAACAAACAAGTTTCATTTCAAACAACTATTTATAACTTTTGTCACTACACTACTTCATTACTCTGCAACACTTCTTCAAAAAAGCAACCAGTTAAACAGAATTTGAACATTGCCAAACATGGAAAAATACAGTTCAGTCTTAGTCTTAAAACACTTTTTATTAAAAAAACAAACAAATCCAGAAACTTGTGAACAGAAATGAAGGGTATATATAATTTAGTGCGAGTTTAGTACTATTCACTTAGTGGCTGCAGTGAGCCTGTTTTTGACTGCAGAGCTGTGGTGGGGCATGGTCTGTGGGGGAGGCAGACGCACCTGAGCAGCATCCCCAATCACGTCTCGCCGGATTGAACTAGGTCCTGTTGTTGTTGATGTGTGTAGGCTGTAGCCGAAAAGCTGCAGCTGCGTGTGTAAGTTGACAGCCACAATAAAGAAGTGTACTGAAAAGTGCAAACGCGGTCAGGTCTTTTGTGCCCCAATTCTGGGTTTGACCCGACCACATATTCGCAGTTTTCAGTACACTTCTTTATTGCGACTATAAACTTACACAAACGGCTGGAGCTTTTCAGCGGATGCGCATATTATTTATGTAACTGCCGCGAATTTCTTTGTACCACCATAAAAGTGATCCCGATGTTAATCATTAGTTCCACATAACTTTTCTTTGGTTGGTCAGGATGCTCTCGATGGTGCAGCAATAGAAGTTCACCAGGATGTCTGAGGACAGGTGGTTCTTCCTCAGAGTCCTCAAGA